ATATATTCTTTTTTAGATTCTTTTCCCTTACAGGTTATTACAAAATATTGAGTATAGTTCGCTGTACTATACAGTAGGTCCTTGCTGGCTATCTATTTTATGTGTAGTAGTGTGTATATGTTAATCCCAAACTCCTAATTTATCCCTACCCACCACTTTTCCGCTTTGGTAACAATAGATTTGTTTTCTGTGTCTGTGGGTTTATTTCTGTTTTGTATAGAAGTTCATTTGTATCATTTTTTATTTTTAGATTCCACATATAAGTGATATCGTATACTTGTCTTTCTCTGTCTGGCTTACTTCACTTAGTATGATAATCTCTAGGTCCAAACAAAAAAGATGGAAGTCATCATTGTGTTTTCAGCTGTTTAGATGAATGTGTGAAAAGTGCCATTGTGGAGAGTCCCATCAGCCCAACACAGGCGGAATGTGTCATAAACCAGTGACAGTAAAGGAACATAAGTTCATAGTACTCTTCTGGAATCTCAGAGTGGGAGAAAGTGAAGAAATAATTGTTAGATAATGTAAGCGCTGAATCATTTCTGCCTCAGTTACTGGTTATTTTGGACAATTAATATTTTTTTTTATCAATTTTCAGTTCACTTTGCCTCAGGTTTTTGGTTGGCTGATTAGCCACAAATAATAGCCATGTGAAAACCAAGCAGGATTAACACGCAGTGATGATATTCTCACTGTATCTTTAAAAATATGCCATATTTGCAATACTTACCCCATGATTTAACACAGCTTGCTCAGACTACTTTTAAAGTTACAGTTTCTTTCAACTGTATAAAAATATGTACATGAGAATCAGATAGACGTAACAAAATTATAATTTTGATAAGGAGATTTACAGACATTTTTCTCTATATTGCAAAATGATGTAATGTATTTTATCATTTTAAAGTAAGGCATTTTAAATATTAAGCATTTTAAGTCATCATGAACATTACTATAATATTGGATTTTAATGTGAAATAGGCAATTAAATTACGATCTCTAAGTATGTATATAGAGTGACTGTAGGTATACAGAAGTCAAAAAAGGATGGATTTGTAAATCAATCTTGAATAAAATACTGATTATAAAGCTATTTGATACAATGTGTACTTTAAATATCAACTAGTAATTAATTAGTGACATATTTTCGTGACTCAGTACCACTGTCTACAGGTTAAAAAATAGGAAATTATTGTGACATGCACTTTAAACTTTGATATGTTTTTGATATAAGATAGAAGTCAGTGTATCCCAATACACAATATATTCATAGGTTTAGTATTACTATAGGGATATATATACACACACACACACATATATATTTGTATATGTGTATATATGTTTAATTCCAACTTTTAAAATATTTTTGAATTTGTAGAAGCTATCTAAAACAACCATTTTCATTACCAATCTGAAAGACCAAACAGGGAATGCTAGATAACCAGCCAGTCCTGTTTTAAACTAACACCTTGTAGAACTAGATGAGCTTGGAATCTGTTGAACAATAAAGAAAATGATATCTTTTTAAATAAAATATAATAATGTCCTTCATGCTGAGTTAGGACTGTGCTGAAGTTTTTCTTTGGCATCAGTATTCAGCCAAAGTCAGCTGTTTGGCTTGGACTTCATGCTTTGCTTATGGAAATCTAAATAGCCAAATGGCTACTTCAGCACCACTCTGGCATCCTTGATTTTTTTGCTTAATCTGTGATCATGGGCTTACATAGAACATATATCTAATCAGGGTAACAGCACCAGCACTAAGAACAATGTACGTCATGCAGAATTATTGTTACCATTTTAGTGTTCCCTTTCAAATACCAGTAAATCTTCTATTT